CCACAATATGCAACGTGAAAAGCTCTACAATTTACGCAGAACAGTTTATTGAAATAAGAAGAAAGGAATTTTTCATTGGTGTAGAAAAATGATCCTTTCACAGCGTCAAATATTGGTCGCACTGAATTTTGCTTTTTTGGAAAACAAAAAGTACATAATTGAAATAAGCTTTCCTTTGTAGATTGTAGAGCTTTTCACGCTGCATCTTACAGTATATTTTGTTTTTTAAAACAACGTATTAAGTGATGCAAAAATGAAATGGAAAAAGGTCGTTTTTTTTGTCCGAGGGAGACTTATAACCCTAATGAGGTCACTCAGGTAGTAAACTTGATGATTTTTTGGAACGCCATTCCTATTCTAAACAGGAGGAGGGCGAATAATTCCCTTTTGCGGTTCTCAAAATGTTTCGGTTTTTCGTGTTGGAATCAAGTTAGGAGAGACTCCTAATGATATTCCAAAGATTGATTTGCGACAGCTCTCAATCGAATTTTGACTCACACCCGTACTTCCCCACAGGGAGGCCAAAATACTTCTTCGCCATCCCTGTGGGAAGTACAGGCATCGGCCGAAAATGACTTTGAAGATTTTTTAAAAATTTTGATAAAAATATTAATACTGCACTATGAGTGTCTTAAATATGACAACTTATAGAAATTTCTCTCACAGGCAGAGTTATGGTACTTAAAGGGTTAAAAATAAAAACAAGACTTGTTCCAATTAGAAATCCAAATGATTGTAAATCAATTTCAGTCATTCGATCAAATAAATTATTTGTTGAATAAGATAAATAACATAACAAATAAATCAATAATGATGTCAACATTCCATGAATTAGACTTTCACATAATGTTTTTTTATTAAAATATTCATTTTTCAATCAAATGAATATCAACAGAAGAAAAAAAAACGTTAAATGAAAGCTCTTTATTTATTTAATTCAACTTACAGATAACTTTTATTTAACAAATAATTGATAATAATGTATAGTATAAAGAACACCAAAAACTGGATCATAAACAGTCTAAAAGAAAACCCATTGCAATTGATCATCATTTGAATGTATGAATATTACTTGAGTTGAATAAGTAGAAAAGAAACTAAACGAAACATGTGAAAAAATAAAAAAGCAAAATTTTTATAAAAGAAATAACGTAAACATTTGGCAAGACGAAGATAAGATAAACGACCGTGAACAAATAAAAGTCTTTCCAAATAACGAAATTGTCCATTGAGGTATCATCTATAAAACAATGAACTAGTATTCAAGAAGTTTTCTTCCTTTATTTCTTTGATATGTAAACTATGATGAAGAGATTTTCTAGAATTGATGACAACATTAGGAAAAGAAAAATCTCAAATGAATGCAGTCAATAGAAAAGCAATCGATTGAAAAGTTTATTCGAATGTCTTTCTTTCTTTCTCTCTCTCTCTTTCTCTTATCAATTGAGATTAGAAAGTCATTGAAAAGAAGATTCTCTTCATATACAATTTCAAATAAATATTTCGAAGAGTGATAGAGAAATAATCAAATCATTGATCAGATTATCAAGATTTACAGTGAAATAAAACAAAACATTTCCAATGAAATCTTTCTTAATTTGACAAGTTTTTCTCAACAGATAAAAGAGAAATGAAAATCATAAATCTTGTTTTTAATTTGTTGTTAATGTTGATGGATAATTGAAGAGAGAGAGAGAGAAAGAATTGATTTGATAGAATTTAACAAGAATGATTCGGCTGAATATGTCGAATATGAAAAGAATTGCTTAGATTAATATTGATAAGATCTTGAAGAAATGTTTGACATTTTTGATGAATATTTAGAATTTGTTCTTTAATTGATTGTTTATCTAGAAAAGATTCTTTTTTTCAAAAAATTCTGAAATTATTGTGAAGAATTTTCTCTGATTGAAAAAATTAGTTCATTTGAATAGTTAACACGTGGCTAAATCCATTTTTCTATATTATCAATCGAATCAAAATAGAGATCGAATATGGATCTAAATTTTTTTCTAGAATAGTCATGTATTTAAGAACATGTTGTATGTAGCTGTTCTCGGTTTATACGTTTCTCATTCATTAAGTTATTCTCAGTTTATATCGTAAAATAGCAGAAAAAATAATTCTTGTATCAATACTAATTGTTAAATCTAATTAATATCAAAATTTGACGAAAGTATTTAGTGTCTCGTCTTGATAGCCACGGTCGCAATGAGGTGGGAAAATTCTTTCGATAATAATCAGAATACGAGTTTATTTTCCAAAATATCTACATTTAACCATGTCCACTCACCTCTTTCAGCAATGCTTTCAAACCAAAGCTTCAGCTGTTGAGCAGCTCTTTTGAATAAGAAATTTGTGTGAACAGGCTTCACCGATTCTTCACTAAAATAGCTCCTTACAGTTCATGATCTTGTACTATGATACCGCTATTCTTCTCTCTTTGATATCTCAATGTTGAAAAATCTTCTATTTTGATCATTTGAAATGATTTCACCTCAGATGGATGAAGTGAGGGTGATGATGGAGGTAAAAAGGAAATTTTTACCACATTCACTTTTTCGCCTATCTTTCACTGTTGATAGGTTTCGGTAAATTATCGAGATATTCAAGTGTTCTCTACTTGTTTATTTTTTGATAACCATATACGAAATATACAGCATTCGATCGCGGATCTAGATGATCATTAATCAGCCAAACTTCGACAGAGAATAAAAGTCATTTGAATAATTTCTCGAAAGTATTGTTCAAACAAACATGCCTTATGGCATTTTAGTCGACACATCGCATCCTCTCCCGATGAGTCAGTTTCTATTGATTGGACGAGCAACGAATCAAACAAATATTTCTCTTCAATCATCGTAGTAGTACCATATTCTTATTCAGTTCAGTCGAGTAGAGCGATATTGAACGCGCTAAAGCTAAATCTGACAACGTATTACACGAAACTCAACTTCTAGACCAACAACAGAATATGTTCGTTTTGTTGAAAAGTACGTTTTTTCATCGTCGCAATCCCAATCATTTTGTTCTTGTTATAGTGCTAATGAATCGTCACAGTATCATCAATCACATTGGTTCATTGTCTACTCCACCATCTTCCGATCGAATTATCACCTCGATATGGTTCCGAAATGAAGAAAATAAATTTATTCAAGCAGAACATATCGTGAAAACAGATTCCTTAAAGAAATTTGAAGAAACCGTATGCACCATTATTGATTCTTCTATTAATAATTGTGACATGACAAAATCAATGCCATTGCTTCATTATTCGATGAACTTCGTATGTTGATCAAGTCAACAGCACCGAAAAATATTCAAGAAAAATTATTCGAGGTGTTGCACAATATTAAACAATTGGCAATAAATAATGAAAAAACAATTACGGAGTTGTTCAGTCAAGTTGCTGATCTTCGTTCAGCTGTAAAAAGTTTACAAGAACGTCAACATAGACGGAATACTATACTACATGCATTTGAAGTCTCGTTTCTGTATCATTATCATATTATTTTACAAATTATTCGACGTCATTATCCAAAGATTCCATGGTTAGAAATTGTTAATGTTGTTAAACAAACTTCACCTAGTTCATTAGAATCAGGTAAATTGTTTTTCTCTTTATCTCGTAATCTGACTAAGTCTAAATCTTAATTTAGCTCATCGTCCATCATCACCAAAGATTGTGGCAAAGCGACACGAATTTCAATCATTTTGTTCAATTGATCTGGACAAACTCGTCCGTTTATCAAATGTGCGCAATGAAGTGATGCACATCCAAATTGCGAACATCAACGAACAAAAAACGTTATTGAAACACATGAAACATTATTTAGACTCGAAATCGATCAGAGAATTCAACGATAGTATAAAATATATGTTAAATGGATTGAAAAATCATAAACTGGGGAAAATACAACATTTTTTTAATTAATAAACTAACTTTCACCTGAAATTTACCGCTTTCGATATTATCTACTTGACTGATGAAAGTTACCTGTGTCAACTTAGTCAACGCAATTTATTCTATTAGAAGAAGATGCTCAAGAGTATTGATAGTAGTGAAGATAATTCTTATTGTATTGATTCTTTCGACAGTTTGTCTTTCAATATTTTCGATTCATTTAGTTGCATAGACAACAGAAGAGACTATTGTTTCTAATGTTGATCCATTGTCTGTATATATGTACATTGATAGATGTGTTTCAATTGTGACGCAAAAAATCCGACATGGGCATCGGTTACTTATGGTGTATTTTTCTGTATTGATTGTTCCGCAAGACATCGTGGTCTTGATGTTCATGTATCATTTGTTCGTTCAACTAATCTTGATACTAGTTGGGGATGACTTCAACTTCGGTATGTTTTATTCGAATGTTAATTTTCAATCGTTATGTTTTCTTGTATATTTAGAGTCATGCGAGTTGGTGGAAATGCTAATGCTGTAAGTATTACATCATCTGATGATCAATAAAAATTCTGAAATTGATTCTTTTTTATGAAGCATTTTTTCAACAACATGGTTGTGAAACAAAAGATATTCAACAAAAATATAATAGTCGAGCTGCATAACTTTATCGTGAAAAACTTCATCAACTTGCTACCAAAGCAATGAAACAATATGGAACTAAAGTAATGAGATATTAAGAAAGAATTATTTTAATGATATTTATGATATTTTTCTTTAGCTTTGTCTTGATGAAGGACATAAGAGTAAACATAGTCATGGAACATCTGAAAAAAAAGAAGGTAATTTCTTCCATGAACATTCTCAACCATCAACTAAAACTAGTTGGAATGACAATGTAACAATCTCTTCACATTCAAGCAATCAAAGTCTTGATAAGAGTAAATTAACTTCTTACTATCTTTTCTATTATTATCGTTTTGTTCCTTTCTTTTTGGCTGAACAACAAACAGAAGGACCATCAATTGATCCAAATGCATTTAATAATGATGGCTCAGTGAAAACATTCGATCCAAAAAAAAAACAATCTGTCAACGTCGACCACCAGCAACGAAAAGGGTTTGTTTATCTGAATGATAGCTTAGTTTCGATTGTACTCTGTTTTTTGATAAAATAAATTAAATTATTGTTTTTTGTTTAGAACGGTTTTGGTGCATAAAAAAGTAACAGCTTATTTCAAAGAAATCGAACGTAATATTCAAGAACAAGAAAAATTTCGTGAACACCAAGTTCATCTTGAACTTAAAAATCGCGAAGAAGCAAAAAGACAACATGAAAAAGACATGTAAACGAATTATTGATAATAAAAAACACATAATACTTTTATATTTAGGACAAATCTTAAATTTGCTTATCAATATATAAATAAAACACGTGAATTAGAAGAAGCTAAATTAAAACAATCAAATCCAAAGAAAGCTGAACAAATGGAACATTTTGGCATGGGATTTCCTAATCGAAGGTAGAATCTATATTTAAGTAAATAAGAAGAATAGTTAGATCATTGTCTTTTATATATTTAGTGGCGTAAGTCATAGTGCTATGACTGATATGCAAACAATTCAACAAGAAGGTGTAACAACAACAAGAACTGTTTCACTTGCACCACGAAATCGAGATTTTTTTGATGATTATGAACCAGCTGGTTTTAGTAGTCGATCGAAGTATGTATTTCGATTTATTCATAGATATGTAATTCAGGGTGTGGGTGTTTTCATCTTCTAACAGAATCCACACCCACATCCTTAAGCATTTTCCTATTCATTTCTTTTAAATTTAAATTTCTTTTATATTTTATGTCTTTAGAGTGTATTTCTAATTTGAATAAGATTTTATACATGTCAATCGATCATATATTATTTCAGATTCGCTGCCAACATTATAAGATGACAAAAATATATCGAAACTCAATGAATCATTTATCTAATTCTAACTGTTTGTCGAAAAATACTGGATTTCGTTGATTTTGACGTCGATTTTCTAAAAGTCTTTCGGGTTCTGTTCGTTTTGGATTCAGTTATCGAGTATGAGATCGAATTCATTTCGATTTCATTGCTGCAAGAGCAGCTCGGATTTAATTCATCACGAGTACGATTCAAAGAAGCCGGTTCGGGCTCGATTCGGTTGTCGTCCACTTGAACTGAATTGTTATCGTTCGGCTCAGATTGGTTTGATGCTGATGTTTCTTCCGACCATTCATCGAGACAAATGTTGATTCTTCGATTATTGTTGACTTTTTCAATCGATGTTATTGTAAATGGAACATAACGCATGATTAACACTTCCTCCTCTTCAGGAAAATGGGACAGTGATACAATATTGAGTGCTGAACGACGCTGAGTGCCATTAATATTATATGTGTACAATACTGATATTTGATTTTCATCATCATGTGCACAAAACATCTCCGCTACTTGTTCGTTCTTACTGGTCGATAGAAAAGTAGTTGTTAATATTGTAGCACCCACTTCATAATTTTCTATGAGTTTCGTATCATTTAGATGTACACCACGATAGACTGTGCTGTGTCGAACAAGGTACCTATCTAACTTTGGATGAAACAAAATCTTGGTAAATGCTTCCGTGTACTCCTTTGTAACATAAAGAACTGGGCAGTTCAAAATTGTGCAGTAAAGTCTTATAAAGTGATATGCGTTTGTAGCTAAATGTTTATTGAGGCGCGTGGTGAATTCTTTAGTGCAAGTGTATGCTTTAATGACGGACTCTGGATCGTTTTGTTCACGAGCAAACTTCAGATTTTGTTTCATATTTTCCCAATTCTCATCAGTATGCTTGAATTTCGAATATGTTTCTTCAATTATATCTATGCTATCTACGATAATCGAAGATTCGTTCAAATTTTCAAAATCGTGATGAAAGCGTCTAGTTATGCCCAAAGTCTTATCATTTTCTTTAATTATCAAGTGCCAGTATGACCATTCTATCTTCCTTGTTTCACTTAAAATGTCATGAAGGTCACAGTCGCTGGCGTAATAGATCTTTTTTCGTAAAATTTCTCCAAGTGTTTCTGGTGGTGCTTCCTTTGATTTACTATGAAAACGTCGAAAGAAAAAATGTCGAAGGAAGAAACGTCGAAAAAAATATCTCAAAAAATAAATGTCGAAGGAAAAAACGTCGAAGGAAAAAATATCGAAAGAAAAAAAAATCGAATGAAAAAAAATGTCGAATCAGTGAAAATGTTGTTAGATGAAAAATATAAAATATTTATTTTATTTCATTGAAAAAAAGGAACAA